GCCAACCGATGGTGGCGCTCCGCTTAGATAGTCCTGCCGGCACTAAAACCATCCTGGGCAGAACCCTGCGAATTGCAAAAAATAACAGCAGCAAAAACTAAAAAAATAAATATGACAACAAAAATACATACATGTAATTGACACCTAAAGAAAAAATAAATACTTTTATAATTAACCTCCAGAAATCTACCCTATCTCTACTCTTTCACTGGACAATGAACAAAATCAGGTTTGATAGGATGCACCAGTCATGAGCAGACCATCATGAGGTCCATGTATAACCTCAGAAGTATCCACGCTCACAACCTTATAAACACCTTCAATATTTGCATAATAAGGAATTCAACACAGTTTTTAAAGTTATGAATGAATACCCATACATATACCCATTACCAACAAGTAATCTTGTTTTGAGTGGTCATTTTGCAAGCTGCAGGTGGAAAATTTAAAAACAAAAAAGGTGGCAACATTTGATTCCAAGATGGTAAATCATAATAACACCACATTAATAGCTTAAAACTTTAAAATCAAAGCAAGTTTTAACAGAAAAGCGATTTGGATTAGTATAAATATGTTTATTTTTCCATTTGTAATTTCAGCTCTGGTGCTGACGAGGAGTATGGAGTGGGTGAGAGTAAGATGGTAGACCTTGAAGCCAAGAGAGAAAGCACTAGCCAAGGCAAAACGGGCACAGCTGAAGCAGGGGAGATGGTCAGGCAGAAAGCCCTCTAAAGTCTGACAGAAAAGGCTGAATGGTAAGCACATGTATGATGATTTGTGCATTCCAAAGGGAAGGGGTGTGCCAGTAGCAATCAGTATGTACATGTACTTGTACTCTGCTGAACAAAAACACTCTGCTTCTTCCAAAACAAAAATGTGCTGAGCTCACCCAAAGATCGATTGTTGTTAGTTAACTGTCTGTATGATGTAGCTGTACTAGTGCACTTGGAAAAAAGAAAGTGCTAGCATGTTTGGATATTAATTAATGTATCTTGAATTGGGGAATTAGATATTACATTTGGGAGATGCTTTGCCCTACCCCACATGTCGGGTAGGGTAAAACACCTCTCAAATTAAATATCATTTTGGGCATTTCATTTCACTTAATTTATTACATTGTCACGTTAAAAAAACCTGAAAATTGGTTTTCCCTGTGAATTACCGGTATGCATAAAAAATTCCTATTGATACAACGAATATAAAACAACATTTATAAAAAGCAGAGACTAAACAGATAAAAACTGTTTTCATGCACCAGGGTGGAGATCACCAATCAGGAAGGCGCAGAATTTCTTTTTTTAAATGCAGAGTTAAACAGGTGGCAAGCATTAGGCAAAAAAGACATTCTAAAACACTGTGTTGGTGCATGGGGTGCGGATTCTTCTGGATCAGTTGATGACCACTGAAACATAAAGGGGATGCTTAGGATCTTGCATTATTGCACAAAGCTTGGGGACAATTGCTGATTCGAAAATACTTTGAACATCTTTCACATCAAGACCAATCATTTTCGAAGCAATGCATCGAAAACGGAAAAAATTGGAATGCATCACATTCCAATTTTTTGCTGAGTAAAACCAAAATTTACATGCTCAAATTTGCCATTTCACATAAAAGTGGCCCATCCATTCTTTCTTCAGATGAAGCCAAGCTGCAGACCCCTCTGCCCAAGAAGCGCAAGAAGGTTGAAACCACTGAGTACACGCAGCACCTGAAGGACAAGTCGGAGGAGTACACTCTCAAATAGCTGCAACTTGAGCATGACAAAGAACATTTTGAACTGGAGAGGAAAGAACGGCAAGCTAAGCTGGAACATGATTCAGAGATGATGGACCTCTTGCTGAAACTACCGGTAACAAAGAAGGAACTCTAAACCAAATGACTTTTTCATTTTTCTTTCATTGTTAGCATTCAAGGCCCAGTTTAGAGTCAACAGGTCATAGTTTTTAATGCATTGTATTCTTCATGGAGTCAGAGCAACAACGTCATAAAACCGACTTTACAGTTTTGCAATAACATGCTTTTGTCAGTGCCAAAAGGCTGTATGTTGTACATGTAAAAGGTTCGGATGAACATGTAAAACATCTGGCACAAGATATATACGTAAGAGGTTTTGCACCATTTATGAAAACTGTATACAAAATTGAAAGAATGTTTTTTGGCATATCAGAGATACGATGTTGTTGCACTGGTATGAAGAATTAATACCGGTATATCCAAACTGTTGAAACAGAATTTTGCAGTGTGAATGGTAACTAATGGGACAAGTAAAGCAATTTACGCATCCAAAATGTTGGATCAGAATCTTCCTGTGTGGAACAGACTGAGGAGGGGCTTTGACAAAATCATTAGTTTAACAGATGCTGCAAAGAAGTAGCTGAATCAAGTGTTGAAAGAGAGTATGAAGGAAGTTGACTGTTCCTTCACAACACACAACAGGGTAGACTTGAATGTCTGTTGATAATCTGTTGGGGTAGGCAAATCGTCGGAGCATGGTACATACATGTACATGTAAAGCATCCAAACCTGATGTCACAGTCCGGTTCTGGCATACAATCAGGAATTCCCAATGCTGCATGGAGCCTATGAAGTTTCTCACGGTCTATTCAAAACATATCCGGTGTAAGATGTTTTTTAACCGCTTGACGACAGGAATTTCTTCCCAAAAGCCGACTCCAAGAATTCCAGCCTCGCTTGGCAATGAAGGCCACCTGCCAAACCGCAAATTCTCAGTTTGGGAGTCCACTAGGAATTTTTTTTTCCCTCTCCTGACTAGTTGGTTAAATGTTCACTCCAGATGTGTTGAACAATAAACCAGTATTGAAGGTGAACCTGTGTCTGTGTCTTTTTTTGCTTAGTAAATTAGGTTAGCCAGGTTGTGGCAGAAAGCTGTTTCTTTTATTATTTAAAAATTAGCTTGAGCTTATTGGAGTAACGTGTGAAATGGAAGTGATGTGGAAAGTACCATAGCTAGACTGAGAGTCAGAATGCCAGATGATTCCACTATGTCAGCATGACATTTGAATTGCTCCCAAAAGCGTTTTCTCGTCGGCCAAAAGACACAATTAGAGGCACTTTTGCCCAGTAGGCACAAATCCAGCTGCCTCATGCGACAACTTACCTGCCGCAGTTAGAACAGAACCGAGGAAAACCCAGCCTGTCAGATTTTGTTGTCAAGGCCAGCAGTGGAGCAGAACTCAACCACATTACACACTTTCTACTGAAGAAACTCATAAGTGTAAACACCCTATTTATTTTGGCAGATTATTTTCTAAAGTTCACTGATGTTTTGACAAGATGAAGTTCCTCTCCTTCACTGAAAATATCGATAGAATTCGTAGATGTAATTTGATTTGATTTCACAGTTATATTTGTCAAGGATGAAGGATTCCGCTGTGCAAATTAATCCAAAAGTTATTAAGGTATATTTTGAAGTTTGAATTATAGTCAGGGACTTACCTTTTCCTTCCAAGTTAGAAATGAAGTACTTATACGGTTTGGCCATTTCTTTGAATTTAGATGGTCAGTGTTTACTCTTGATGTCAATCACATCTACCCTTCTACCCCTGCTACCCAGTGTCACAAATTGATTTGGACGACACAACGTCCACAAATACTCGAGTGCCGTGCTGAGAATTGAGCAAGCAAGAGTTGACACACTGCGGGAGTCGCAACTTAACTACAAGGAATGTATACATTGAAAACTACATGTACATGTATTTCTAAATGAGAAAGAACAAAGCCTTGGTGCATTTTTATGACAACGAACTCTAATCTTCTGTGATTGTAAGGAGCCTGAAATAATTTGTAAAGGTTCCAATTGATTTTGTATTTCACTGATTGAATTTGAATTTGATTTTTTTTGGAGTAACAAAATACGTCAAATCAGATAGCTGAGAATCAGAAAACAAAGAGATAATTTAACAGTTGATTATAAACTTCATTTTGCCTGCAATTTGATGAAATCCTTGATTAAATCATTTTCTTTTTATGCCTATGTATAAAGTTTAGTAAATAAAGCAGTTGTAAACCAGAAAGGAAGAACACTTTAAAACTGACAAGTTTCCGCCTCATCCTTTTGGCACTTACATTCTTACATTGGGACACTGATCATTTGTCAGTGCTTCACAGAAAATTTGGTTAACCACTTCCTGTCGGGCAACCCGTTTTCGAGTACATAGGCTTTATTTATATGCAGAGCCCGGGAGCCCAGAACTGGGACAAAAGCGTTGTGCCTTATAACAAAAGACCGTGCTCAGCATAAAAGACTTGAGCTGCTAGGCATTGCCGACATTTTTTCGCCAGTTTCGGGAACAAAAGAATCTTACTTAACATCGCACAATCTCGGCTCTTTTTCCAAGGCTGCAGGCCTGGCTGAGATATTCAGGAGTCAATGAATTTTACCTGTCAAGCTTTAGAATAGTGCCCAAAGAGTCCTTCATTTTGGTATAAATGGCCATTAAATGAACTGATGAATTTTTGAAGAATTTTGAAAACGAAAAATCTTAAAAATGAGCCAGCATCTTGTCTTCCTCAAGAAAAATCCACCCGGCAGCAGGTGGTTAAGGTAGGTTCATATGTCACTCTTCCTGCACTAGTCCCAGCACCAGATTTGAGAAGAAAAAAACGCTGTTTCTTTGTCATTTTCCTCTAAAGCCATAAACATAAGCTCATCGATGGAGGCTGCCGTGCTGGATTGCTTCTGTCACAGCGCCACCAATATGTTGGGATTGCAAAACAATGGGTAGATCTTTAACAGATATGGATAGCTAAAAGTATGCGTATGCAAATCCGTTCACATGGGAAACCTAACTAGCTGTAATTAACTAGGAATGCAATGGTGACAGTATGACATGGCTGGTTGTGCATGCACAGTAAACTGTTAATGGTCAAGCAAAAGGTACAAGTACATGAGCATATTGCATTCTTGTCCTGTGTTTTGCTGTGTTCACAGCCATTTGTTCAGTACATGTACATGTACATGCTTGGTCTGCTCATCTGCAATGTGTGCATACATGTTTAAGTCAACAAAGGAAATGAGATACATCTAAACATGGTGACATGAGTTGGCTGGTACCCACCCCCATCTGTAGGCAGTGTTGTAGTACTCGTACTCGGTACTCGTACTCGGTACTCGTACACTACTCCAGTACTGTTTCCAGAGTACTCGTACTTGCACTCGGACGTCCAAGTTCTCGTACTCCAACTACAGTTCTTGTACTCGGGCTACAAAATACTTGGAACTCGACATCCAAAAATTGTACTCGAGCATCAAAGTACTCGTACTCGATAACAGCACTCGATAAAAAAATCCTTTAAGTTAACTTACCACCGCCGTTTAAATAAGGTACAAAAATATCGACTCCAATGACCCGGTATTCGATACGGTTCTGACAAAAAGAAAGCCGTCTGTGCGCATACTTAACCAATCACGTACGCAAATTATATTGTGGTACTCCAGAATGGTCCCGCGATTTACTTGGGCATTGGTAGTCTGGTTTCTGGACCAGAAATTTCTAACGACGAACCTAGCATACAGAAAATCACAGGTATATGAATAATTGAGTCTGGAAAATAGACTTCGCCACGCCGTGCACGTTGTGTCAACTGCTGCAACCCACACGTAGTGACCGTGACATTGCTAGCCAGATCACTTGTTCTTGTAGCCATGTCATCTGCATACGGTGTTTCTTTTACACAGTGGCAGGTCTTAGAGTCTCTAAATTAAGATAAAACTACTTTTGAATTAGAAGCACTTGTACTCGTACTCGGAATTAGAAGTACCTGTACTCGTACTCGGAAGTGCAAGTACTTGTACTCGGAAACCAGTACTTGTACTCGGCTGGTAAAGTACTTGACCTATCTTTGTACTCGGCAGTCAAAGTACCTGGTAGTACTTGGTACTCGGAAAAAAGTACTCGACTACAACACTGTCTATAGGTCTAGGGAGACCAATGTTAGAAAACAAATCTCCAACATACCAGCTGAATAATGACACTCTCCACCAGTTCGCGAAATGTCATGTACTTGTCCTCCCGTGTATCGTAGATGTACTTGATGAGTTTGGCGATGACCTCTGTGTCTGTGTCTGACTCAAAGATGAAACCCTTGCTCTGAAGGAAAGTCTTGATGTCCTTATAGTTAGTGATGATTCCATTGTGAATCACCAAGAACTCTGAGATCAAAAAGTAAGAAAAGCATTCGTTAATGTGACTTCTTGCATCTTGTGAAATGCTTGTTTATAATCACAGTTCTACAACAGTAACAGGCAGAATAATTCTTGTCCTCCAAGGTGTATGGAAAAGAATTTTAAATATGTACAGTACAAATACATTGTACATGTACATGTAGGCTGAAGTCCACTGCCTGGATGTGCTCCACACACTACATGCATGACACACCCACCGATACGAGGCTTTCACACACACACACACACAAGTGTGTATCTGCCT